AAAAAAAAAAACTAAGATTAGATCCGAATCAATGGGTAGTCAACATGCAATATTATTATTTTATTTTTATTTAAATTTAAAATATTAAATATAAAATTATAATATATAAAATAAAAATAGTTAAATACGATATATAAGATTTTTCACAATGGTTAAATATATAAATAGTTAAATAATATGAATAGAAAACAAATAAAAGAAAACTTTACCTCCTTTTAATTTACACAATGATGGTGAGCGGTTTCCGTCATTTCTTATCCAAGCTCAGAAATTCATAATTTTTTTTTTAAACAATGAAATGTATTTTAATAGTGAGTTACAAAGAAAAGACTAAAGCAAAAATTAAACAAAAAAAAGTCAAAGAAAAAGGGAGAAAGAGGTGTGAAGAAATTTAAATTAGGGTAAAATTACGTAGAGTTTATGAAGTTATTTTATTATTTTTTATTTATATTTATATAAAAATAAAAAATTTATTTTGAGGGAACCATTAAAAATATATAGTAAATAAATAATTCCATAAATTTTGAAAGAGACCATTAAAAAATATATAATAAATAAAAAATTCTAAAAATTTTGGAAGGGCCATTAATATATATAGATAATAAAAATTTTTAAAAATTTTGAGCCATATAATTACATTACCCTCTATTGCTAACATCAATATTTTATGACATAAAATGATCAGTATCATTCTTAATAATAATTCACTATTAATTATAAAGATTTGAATTTAAAATGAAAGTGTAATAATTTAATTGAACATAATAATAAAATAAAATTTACTTGAATTTTTCTTCCTAATTTATAATTTTTTTCTATATTATGTAAAAAAATAATAAGAATTTTATGAAAATTACCTGGCATTAGCAACGAGATAGGAAAGTTAGATAATGCTTCCCTTGATGTGCTCCCTTGCTTGCAAATTAAAGGAAAAAGCAAAAAAAACTTTAACTTTAAAATAAAAATTAAATAAAAGTAAATCCAATTGCAAGAAACAATAGCACCCGCTTTTTTTTTAATTTTTAAAAATTGAAATATACTTTCTTACTTTAATTAAAAATAAAAATCGTAAGAATTTAATTGACCACCATAAATGCTAATTAACGTGATCAACAACAATGTTAAGTTTATCCAATCTAATTAATTTGAAAATTGCTTTTCAAATATTGGATCAATCCCCTCCAACTCCATATCCAAACATTACTAAAGATAAAGAGTCAGATTCCAATGTACCATCACCCCAAAGCTTGATGAATCACATTGATATCGACGTGAACTGCATCAAACTCTCACAGCTACAGGTTGCAATAAATGAATCTTATAGTAAACCTAGTCGGAGTAAAAATTATTATAGAGAACTTGTTTCATAAAAATTTAAAATGTCAACAATTTCACAAATTATTATATTGAGAAATCAATTTACGATATCAAAATATATAAATTATACGTTCAAATATTTAGTTTAATAATCAATACATAATTTTGTTATTTAAAAAATAAAGTTTAAATTTATATAATGGGTAAAGTTTAGTAAGTGCTAAACATTTTATTACGGTTCTACTTTATCATTTCAAACTTTAAATATACTAAGTTGGGAATTTTGTAATTCCTTTTGTTTTATGAACTTGATGAGAATAAAACTCTCAACCTTTTAAGCTTTCATCACCATGGTCTGTTACTCTTAAAATTTCCATATTTTTCTCTTTAAACAAAGACCCTTATTATATTTAATTTCAGAGTCAATTTCCATAACTTGCCTTGACATTACAAAACTCTTCTGGTTTTTTTTTTTAACATTTATTTGGTTCATAAGCACTTGCAAATCAAGTAGTAAAACCAATTTGAAATCTAATTTAGATATCTAATTGGATGGCAACTTAATCTATTTTTATTTTTATAGATAAGAGTAAGTTAGGAATGCAAAAAAACAAACAAAAAAAAAAAGCAAAAGGGGGAAACAGAAAAGAGCAAAGGGGCTGTACATGAGGGTTTCTTCTGAAAAGCCCCTGCCATTTTGGCTTCCACAGGGACTTTCTTTATAAGCCAAACCTTGCTGCTTCAGCTTTCAATATTTCTCTCGCCCTTTCCCTCTCTGTCTCTTTCCTCTTCCTCCTTAAGTTCGTACCGTATAGATCAACTTTGGGTCTTAGAGCTAGGAGGCTAGGATTAGATTGGCACATCCTTCAACACCAGAATCTAAGGACTAGGGTCTAATTTTTCTTCCACTCTTTCTTTTTTAATCTTTTTTGGTACCTTTTTTGTTTTGGCCTTTGCTCTTTCTTGAGCCCAGAATCGAAACCATGAAAAACAAGCCAAAGGTGGAAGAAAACTTTCTATGGGATCAAAACATGAAAAACCATTTTACGATTCCATGGGCCTTCCCAAAGTTAGTAGTTTCTTCCATCCTGTTAATTTCTGTTCTCTGCATCTTCTACACACTGAGCTTCTCGAATGTTTCAAACTCATCTAATCAGGAACTCAAAATCATCAAAACCATTCATGGTATTGACCAAGATATAATCCCACCTGTTTCATCTCCAAAACCAAAACCCCAGGAAAAAACTGGCCTTCAACACATAGTTTTCGGCATTGCAGCCTCAGCTCGCTTGTGGGATCACCGGAAAAATTACATCAAACTCTGGTGGAAACCCCAAGAAATGCGCGGCATCGTCTGGTTAGACAAGGCCGTCGAAAATGGAGATGACGACCATCTTTTGCCACCAATAAAGATCTCAAGGGATACTTCCGAGTTCAAGTACATGAACCCGAAAGGCCACCGTTCTGCCATAAGGATATCCCGCATAGTTTCCGAGACTCTACGGCTTGGCTTGGAAGATGTGAGATGGTTCGTTATGGGAGATGATGATACATTTTTTGTGCCTGATAATTTGGTCAGAGTCTTATCTAAATATGATCATAACCAGTTTTATTACATTGGGAGCTCTTCAGAGAGTCATTTGCAGAACATAAATTTTTCTTACGGGATGGCTTATGGCGGTGGAGGTTTCGCCATCAGTTACCCCTTGGCTAAAGCTCTTGAAAAAATGCAAGACAGGTGTATACAGAGATACCCACGATTATACGGTTCTGATGATCGGATTCACGCTTGCATGGCTGAGCTCGGAGTTCCTCTCACCAAGGAACGCGGATTTCACCAGGTTTGTCTGTTTCTCTACTTCCTCTACATGACAAGGAACAAGAAATTGAATGATTCGATTGTTTGAAGATTTCGTTTTACTACTTCCAACTTGTTTACTACTGCCATGACTAATTGGTTCCGTTCTGAGTCCATGACACGGTTTGGAAAAGTTAATGATTTCCTCAGTACTTCACTAACGAATAATGATTTCCTCAGTACTTTACTCTTGTTAGTTGATTTGAAGAGAGCAGTTCAAATCTAGTTTTTGTTTTAGCTAATACACTACTTGGTGTGGTCTATTTCCTATTATCTAGAAATATAAATAAATAAAACCTAATCCCACCAATAACAAAAGTTTTAGTTATGGTAGATAATACTATAATTCGAAGTTGGACCAGCTGATCAGATTAAAACAAAAAAAAAAAAGAACCCTTCTTTTTTGGGTTTATCATGATATCTGGGTCCTCGGAGTTTCCTTTTTCTTTTCAAAATTTTACACTATTTGTGCTTAGGCTTCTTTATCTCGCATATCACGGCATTGATAGGCACCAGCTTTCTACAGCTTTTGCAAGCCTGTTGGTCACATGTTCCCAGCATCACCGTCCATCCCAATGAATTTTTTGATTGACCCTTCCGAAACCAAAGTCTAAAGACGGTGAAACCTAAGCCAGTCCCGCAGTCAGTCATTTTTATCCGTTTTTCCGAAACATTGGACCACGCCATCACACTTGTCGCTTCATATTAACGTTTTCTACCGTATTCTGTCTGCCCTTGTTAAAACTTTTTTGGTTTTCTTAAAGTTCCTAACCATGTTCTCTAGCCACGTGGACGACAAGAAATTATTCTGCATATCTTGTATATGGACACGTGTTCAGTTGAAACATGTGCTTCTAGTTATTGGGTAGATGAACCAATTCAAACATTTGAGAACAGATTGATGGGACTTGGTTGGGTTTTTTTTTAGCTGTTACTGTTAAACAATCTTGGTTTCAAAATTTTGGTCAATATTTGATTACATTTGTGGCGGAACTCAACTACCATTCCCCTTTTTGTTGACATACAAATTTGAAGGCTTAGGCCACATTTACCTCCATAATTTGTTCAAAGGTGTGGCCCTCTCTTTCTATCCATAAATCCACTTTTCAAAGTCACAGCACTGATAAGCCAATCCTGAAATTGTTGGAAGAAACTAAGGATTAATTTCAGATCTTATATGTATTCATTATGATAACTAGCTAACTCTTTATTGTGGGTTTTTAATCAGTATGATGTGTACGGAAGCCTCTTGGGCCTCCTGGGTGCCCACCCTGTTGCTCCGCTGGTCTCTATTCACCATCTAGACATGGTTCAGCCCATATTCCCCAATGTGAACATGGTCCAAGCCCTACAACGTCTCA